AGCTGCGCCGCCCCCCGCTGCCTTCAGCCGAGGGAGACGCCCCCTCGGCCTCCCCGGACCCCCGGCTCGCCCCACGGCCTCGGGCCGTGCCCGCGAGCAGCGGCTGCCCGACCAGCGGGACGGGGCCTCTTCTTCAAACGAACAAACCGCCACCAGCTCCGGCAGGGAACGGGCCGCTGCTCACCCCGGGCAGCCGCAGTTACGTACGTGAACTTCTAGGTATCACAGGGAAGTGAAACCTCATTACTTTCCCTGAGCTTCTATTAATTAACGGCAGTTATCGCAGAAGCCTCGGGCACAAATTGTGACGCTACTGTCGTCTTTCAGCATTAAACTTTTCACCTAAAAAACTAATTAGACTAAATCTGCCTTTGCAAGTCGTTATTCACTTCAGCATCTTACACACTTGCTGCATCTTATGAGGATCCTAGAGATTAAAAAAACTGTTGTGGAACTAAAACCACAGAAGACTTAAAGGACGATTACCTGGCCTGGAAGAAACTCTTATTATGCAAAGGTACAGACAAAAGGTTGTACATGGTGAAACAATGCAAATACAAGTTTGTGTTAACAAATACCGTGTGCAATGTGAAATCCGAGTCTGCACACGAATGTTAAGAACACTGAAGAGGCTATAAATATTTACAGTTCCTACAAAGAAAGGATGCTTTAGCGGTTGATTGTTCAGCTCCCAGAAGATGCTCCTTTAGCACATATTAAGCTGTATTACTGAAAACTTTTTCTGATATACTAGTTTAAAAAATACATACAACTTCAAATATTGCCAAAAATTTGCCTCAGTGCCAAAGAACACCATGAGGTCTGCAATTACTAATCCTTCTTCTGAAAGATGGAGTTGTTCATAGGCTTTGGTAGCCATCTGGAGAAGCCAGATTTCATGTTCACAAAATGCTGTATCCCAGGGAACTGAACAGGAGACTGGGATTGTGATGGGACAGTTGGCAGTCTGATCCTCAGGTGTTGCAGAAAATTTAGAAAGGGCTCTTGCAGTTTGTTCAGCTCCCTTCAAGCAGAATCATCAGAATGAAAACATTTCAAACGGTCTTCCTGTATTCTTACTCTCAAAATTAAATAAAATAGAAAATTCCTCTTTTTTTTGGCAAAACAGAAAGTAAAGCTGTCTTCTAAGCACGTGTATGGCACAAGCCCTCATGCCACCGTGACCCTTGCTGGACTTGCTAGTGGGATTCCAAGCTGGCTACTGCCTTCCCCTTCAGTGGGTAAGAATAAGCTCCTTATCAACAGAACATGAAACAACTACATCCCATCCTTCCACCTATCATCTTCTTTTACACTTATATCCTGCCAGCACCTCTTCTTTATTAGCTTTTCCTAGAGAATACACACTCTTCATTATTGCACTTGAAATGCCTACCTAAGCCAAGTCCTTCCAACTGCAGATTTTCATCTGAAGGTGTTTCTACAATAAACACAGTTAACTACTAACTGGGGGAAAAGAAGGATAAAATGATTGTGCTTATAACAACACAAGAAGTACATGCAAGTGAGCAGACACTGGCCATGCATAATGTCTCTTTGGGAAGAAAATAAGAGCAGAAAAACAAAGAATGGATTTTGAGGAGCAGATGTCAATAAACAGGTAACTGTCAAGTAAGACCTTGCAGCACAAAGAGTTACAGAGAGATGGCAGTTTCTTTACTGAAGGCACAAGTACCAACTATCTTAGTGCAAAGAAAGGATAAGAAATGTAAAAGAAGGTGATTTGCTTCAGGTATGACAAGAAAACAGAGGAAAGGAAACAAGGAAATCAGAACTGTATCAGTTCTCTTAAAGGATCAGTATAAAAGAATAGCAGAAGAATACAAGGACAAAGATTAAAAAGGCCAAGAGATACAAAGAGCAACAAGAAAATGATCTATAGACATAGCAGTAGGAAAACAACCACCTTAAGAATTGCTGGTCTGCTCTTCTGAGAGAACACTACTGAGTGGCTAATGCCAAGGCAGAAGCATTTACTGTTCTTTAAAAAGGTTAACAGAAAACAGGAGCTAGCTCAGTTAAACAGTGACAAAGGGCAAGACTTCAGCCTTGAAACAAGACTGAAACAGGTTAAGAATGCTTGTCTAAGCCAGATGTTTTAAAAACTTCAGTCAGACTTATTTGCAAAAAATGTTGTCTTAGAAGTGTTAAAGACACCTTGCAAAACTCATGGAGGATAATGAGGTATCGGAAGACTAGAAGTGGCAAACGTGCCAGTCACTCTCAAAATTCCCTTCAAATTCTTGAAAACTTTGGTAACAAATCATCAAATAAATTACCAGTTTGTACCTAGAAGATAACAAGGAGAGTCAGCAGCCAGCAAAGGTCTGTATAGACAAGGCACGCAGCATCGATCTTATTTCTTATGTCAGAGCAATACGCCTTATGGACAGAAGAAAAGTGACAGAGTAACAACTTTACTATAACAAGACTTTTAGCAGTATCTTTATGGAGTTCTCGGCAGCAAACAGGGGAAACACAGTTGTGATGGAATTTCAGTAAGATAAGTTAAAAAATCTGTTGAATATCCACCCCTAGAAAGTAATCATCACCAGTTCTATGTCGAAACAAATATGTTTGAGTGAGGGTCCAAACATCCATGTGCTATTTATTCACTGTTCTCTTTAATCACCTTGGTCACAAAATAAGGAGTACAAGGATTAAACCCACCAGCAACCTGAAACTGAGAGGGACCATAAGTAGTAGAAGAAAAATTTTGTTAAATGGTCTGAAAAATGTACAAAGTACAATACAGGTAAGAACACTATTCTACAGAAGGAAAGAACTGACTGCACAGATTCAGGATGGGGCTGCTGGAGTATGTGACATGGCTGTAAAATAAAGCAACTGGGAGTCACAGTGCCTGACAAACCACCATGAGCCAGTGTCACAAGGCTGCCGCAGAGAGGTGTAAACACTAGCAGTATACTTATGTATACTACGTGTGTATGTTAGATGTGTGAAATAATTCTTGTACTCTACACTGGCAAGGCCTAAGCTAAGCATTACATCTAGTGAGAAGATGGCAAAGGAACTGGCTATCCTAACAGTCTTCAAATAGAAAAAAGTTGATGGCAAATAATTTTTCATATTCACAATTTAGAGGACAGCTGCAAATTCATTTACATGAACTGCAAACAGTTTTAAAGTAAGACAAAACAGAAATAAGCAAAACTATTTTAAAAGTAAGGCTAATGAAGCTCTGAAGATTATGCAGTCTCTAACATCTAAGACTCTTTTTTTTTAAAGTAGTAACAGGTATAGTCGATTTTGGTCTGAAACAGGAAGTTGGACTAGATCATCTCCAGGATTCCCTTCCAGTCTCATTTTTCCGCAATTCAATACTTTTGCTTGAATCTGGGTAGGACAAAACTGAGAGCTCAGTCCACGTAATTAGTAAATGCCAAATCTGCACGTGAGTTTTAAAGCTGACTGTGCATTTTTTGTGTTAAATTTGTAATCTCTTTTTTCCCCTTTTTTTATGCTATGAAAAAAAGCAGCCTGCTTTCTTTATAATATACAAATCTTTGATCTAACCATCCCCACTCAGTTTGCAGACTGTCTTTTTTCCACATCTTACCATAAATTATGAATAGAGCATGGCCACCTTTATCTAAGAAAGAGGCTGAAAGAGCAAAATTAAATCTTTGCTTCCTTTCCCTTCAAACATGTCCAGCACCAGACTTTCAATGAACAAAGGTATGAAGGCTGTCTGATTTTTCATACTGGGAGCACGTTTTCTGAGTTCCTTGTATCTTACAGAATTTGCAACGGGCAGTTGAAGCTATGGTTTATTTTGTCCCAACGTAGTCTCCTAATTAGGATGGGAAACCTAGAAACAAAACTCCTAGTACTCATTCTCATTTCTTCCACTGTGAATTCGTTTTCTCGGTGTCTCAGTGCAGCCCCAGGCACCATCTTCAAACAGGACAGTATTCATGTGAAAAACACCAAATTCCAGATCCTGATTCCACGTGCGAATTAGATACCTGAACTAAGACACCGAAGAAGATAGCTCAACTCACCGAAGGAGTAAGGATGCTACTTGTCTTTGAAAATCCAGGTTCAAGTATTGGGCTGTGCCGTTACAATTATTTCACGGGAGACACACCTATATACCACTCGGACAATTTCTCTGTGCGCTGCCCTCGCTCTACCAGTCTGGGAGCGCCGCGGAGCATCCACCGCTCCCGGGGTCCCGAGTCCGGCGGCCGGTAAATGGCCGGTAAGTGCTGCCGACCGGAGCTCACCAAGGGCTGCGGCCGCCTGTTCCCGTCCCCGCCCCCGCGGCCGGACAGCGGCACCC